AAGCAATGTAAATACTTCCAATTATCCATGAAAACCTAGGATATATGCCTCAAACATATCCTCCACGGTCTACTTAAATCTGTCGATCAATTCCTCCGTATAGAGATATGAAGCAAAGCTGCTACTCCAAAATCCTTTAGAAAGTTCCTTTGAAATAACACTTTTCATCCACTATAATGGACACCCACATGCTATAACACCACTATCAATGCAATAGAAAACTGATATGAAGTTCTAGAATGAACATTAATCCAATTAATGTCCATAAGCGAACTTGCTCAGTCCATCGCTCTTAATCCATATGGAATTAAAATTCCAATTAAATGTCGATAATTCATACAGACCATCAACTCCTGATTAGTGTAATTCCATTTCGTTATAAGAAGTGGCTAAAAATCTCTAATGATATATAATATTTTATTTTCCCCCTTCTATCAAGAGTTCCACTTAGAGACAGTTATGTACTTGTCCCTACCCATACCTGTTCACCAAAACTGACGTTTGATGTCCTGATATAACTTATAATCGTCTGAGTGCAACGAGAAAAATTTAAAAAAAATTTACATCTCAATTACTCTGACCTCCAGAACATCATTTACATAAACCACTAATCCTCCTTCAGTTCCTTAAACTTTATCTGAGTAAGGTAACACCTCTTCCAAGGTCTGCTCTGATATTCTAAGTTGACCTCCGTAATTATCTTGGTAATAGCAAGTGTTATTATTACACATGCTATATATTCAATTGATAACTCAAGAACTAACTGAAAGATTTAAATATCCTATCGGTTATTGAAAGCATCCACTCCCATATTCGCTTCCACCAGACGGAACTTGATGCAAAGTGTGAATCATCATTTCTATTCATCTAAGTTATCTCGTGATCCGTTCTATTCGTATGAACTGATGTCTTACCAGTTCGAAAAAAATAAGAATTAATTTAATTTTTATTTATCAATCAACTAATATCCCAAACAGAATCCTGACCCTTGTGTAAAATCAGCAATCCTCCAACTAAATTCGTGGAAAAGGCTCTCTCATTTCCACTTCGGTATCGGGAATGGCTGCAAAGGATCTAGTGATCTCTGATGGTCAATCTTGACTATCTAAAAGATGTTAGACATTAGGACAAAATATCTTTGTCCCTTTTTTTGCCAGTCCACCAAACCTTTGCTTCATATCGTGATGCATCATATCTCCACCTGGATGAATAGAGAACTGAGAGTTGTGAGTCTTAGTCCTTACATCTTCCCTACAATTTATTTGTAAAAAGTACCATTAGTTTGGTAGCACCAGCCTTTTTATGCACTCATTTCTTAAAATGGAGCATCTTCAAAAGCTAACTCTGCGACTGAATCTGTGCATCACTAATCCGTGATAAACTTATCGATAATGAAAGTCAACCGGTAATTCTACTCATCAAACGTCAACTAACTACAACTTTCCCATACGCACCATACACCTCTTCATTATATAGGTGTTCGACCTCACCATCTTGTCTCTAACACATCATGCTTCTTATACACAAGTAAGTGTCAATCAGACTTTTTTTCCTAATTTCAAAAGAATATGAAACCTCTCCATCCTCCAAATAAGTCATCAATTTCCTAGCAACAACTAATTGTTGCGAATTGTGACCTAAAAAAAATTCTATATTATTTACGCAAGTGAAAAAACTTAGTTTCCTCCTCCATATGCAACACCGGCACCTCCTCCTAATGACACACCCTCGTGAATATATTCTTAATTGAGAATAGACTGATGAAGTTTTATTCAATCTACTTTCCTCACTTGGCGTCATTCTACTAAGTACTTAAACCAGTACTAAATCCTCCTTCCGACTTGGTAACAACTTCTGAAATTTTTCCAAAAAGATGTTCTGTAAATCCGACACCTCTGCCAAACCATCGTGGCGTTACAGTAATCTTTATTTACCACAACCTCACGAATATTGAAATATTAACAACCACCATTATCATGGCGTTGTAATAAGATACGAATCCAGACCTAGAGTAAAGTATCTCAAACTAATCGTATTGGATTATTTGACCCGTGGTGATGATTTTACTATTCCATCCCATATACCATAATGACGCATGTTCAGGTCCAATAGATTGGCTAGAATTTTGTATATCTACCAAATCCTATGACCACGTGTTCACAATCCTAGCATAAATAACGCTATTACTCCATGGTATAAAAACAATAGTTAGCTGATCACATACTTGTATCCCCAACTAAACCACATACTAGAATCCCAAATAGTTAACGAAAATAAAACACGTATGGCGAACAAAATACCACAAAATATATACTTATTTAAGTCATCATTCTTTTTAGGAAAATCTCCTCTGAAATCAACTTGCAAAATTGTTTTACACAATTTCCTTTTATAGTTTCATAGGTAATCATCCAACCTCGAAACATATCCTTTAAAACATTGCTTAAAAGTAACATACGTTTGCCTAAGCAAATGCTAATGGCTCAACCCTCGATTTCCTTATACGCGGAATATAAACTGTCTAACTTGGCTTAATAAAGTGAATAGAACGTCATAACATAATTTCAATGCTCTCTTGAATGTGATATAAAAATCTTACGTTTCGTTCTAATAAGAACTTCATCAAATCCCTAAAATTCTGGAGAGTACATTTCATATATCTCTTTTAGAGATGATAATAAAGTTGAACTATGTGTAGATTGATCAACCTAATTCTACTAATATTATTCGTTATACCACTAGCAAATAATATCACCTTCACGCGATCATTCATCTTCAAGATTTAGTACCCTAATACTCTGAAATCTCCTCCATTAGGATCCTTTTCGACTTCTCGCCTTCGTTTTTCTCCTTTTTGAGAAAAATTGAAGTCGCCGTGGTCCCGATATGTGGTGACCTATCACATACACCTAAATCTTTTTTTGGTTTATACTTTAAAGTAAGCGTTAATCGGAACTAAACTTTCGATTCTTAATCTTCTGGCAATGAAACCGATAACGTACTCCTTTACCTCTTCGAGTCTCTATTGCTTTCACCTTGGACCCTATCTTCTTCCTAATATCAACCATTTTGTAACTTCAGAATATGATTGACCTCAACTCCTCCTAACGAACCGTAAATATAGTACAACGAATCCTATTATGGACTCTAAGTTTAAAGAGACACGACGCGGAAGTCATATAATGAAAGACACTCCTACGGACACTTGAACCTAGAGTGCACTGATACCAACTGTGATACCTTTAGATTTCCATATGCGGGTTGGCCAGACCTACACCCGAACACCAGGGGATATCAAAACAATGTGGCAATAAACGAATACAAAATACAAAAGAGTAAAAAGAATAAATAAATTGCTAAAAGCAAACTAAAATAATAATCCAATAATGAAAACCTTAAACTAAATTTTCATTGATTAAGAAATTCTTCTAATATAATTAATCCTCCATAATAATACAACTCGAGAATCCATACTATGTGGACCCCTAAAAAATCTAAACTGAACAAATGACAACAATAACCGTCTACATCTGGAAACTGAAACATATATGAAACTCCTAGGTAAAATTAGAAGAGTGAAGTAGACTGATCTCTGCTCAACACGAACAATCTCTACACCTGATGAATACCTGAAAAATATTGGTGTGCCAGGTCGACAAATAAGTTCTACTCTACTACAGTCCAAGCAAAAATCCAATATACGTATACATCCTAGTCAACTCAACAATAACTAGTAGTCTATATATATACATATAGATACACACTAAAGGGCTCTTACTGGAATACAGGGCAAACTCAACCTGAATAATAGGCAACATGCAAAACACACATGAAGTGGGCATGAGTACCTAAACCTAACAAGGCACACCACTCATATATTCCAGCTAGACATCCTAATGCATATACGCCCCCTAACCACTGATCCTAAGACTCAAGCTCATATTATGGCATATATTTATACATTTATAAAATCCATCCTATCTAAAACATAAAATAAATATCCAGTATGTCATCCAATTTATTTAGTGGCTTGACATAAAAATAAGTAGGATTTAACTTTCAAGTTAATCCGTTCCCTTATTAATCCGAATAGGTAGGACTTAACTTCTTTGGTTAATATATCCCTAGAATGCCATCATCCCATACTGGTGGATTAATCCAAACAATCCAATCCAATGAATGATGTAAGAATATAACGCATCAAATAATCCAGAGAAAAGAATAATAAAATCCACAAATAATCATTTACATTTATTTAAGCAACTACAAAAATTTAAATAACATGTAACAAACAATTGGCCTATTTTACTAATTGAGGTTTCCTCGTTAAAAATCCTGATGCAATCTTTCTAACCTTAACTTGTTTTACTTTTCAGTATTTATATTTATGATTGTGGATGATTAATTGATCAGATAATTTAATTAATCATAAATTGAGCAAGTTAACATAATAATCAGACTTAGGTCAGTAAAAGAGGTAATTACAATTAAAATCAACTATTAGCTTCCACACCCCGCGTTAACAATGTTTTCCCATTTTTTACCATAAGTTGATAATTAATTATTATAAAAAAAAATGATTAAAAAAAACAATATCATACAATGACTATCACCACTATCAATAATTCTCATCGACTTCTAGAATACACTAGCATTCAGTATCAGGTTCTCACATCGCCCTCTTTATCATTTTCTCCCGTAAAAATTCCCTATGCTAACCTTTTTATTTTTATTTTTATGTGATTTCTGTAGTGTAAACGGAGTTCTTCTTCGTCGCCGGTTCATACCCACCGTCCGTCGTTCCATTCAATCATCCATTCTTACCGGTTTAAACCTGCCGACAGTACCGCCGTTCAATTCTTCAACAGTCTTCAACCATTGACCAGAACGGATGGTGAGCATGAACCGGCGATTAAGAGTTGAGCAGGGCTAATCGGCAGTAGCACTTCTACGGCGTAGGCGGCGTTGATAACTCTCTTCAATGTGATTCGCTCAAAACAAGAAAATATAAAATAAAACAATCCACGTGTGTGATGGACCAATGAAATCTCCCGACTGATAACGCCACTGTTACTAGCAAACCTCAACAAATTATTTGCAAACACATACTAAAGTATACAATTTTGTTTTATCCCAAAAGGGTTACTTTTGTTTTTGGGGACGGAACAAAAATAAAAAAATAAAAAAAACCCTAGAGATTTTGAAATACACATTTATCAAAAAAAATTAAAAGGAATATAACTTCTCAAAGATATTGATCTTGTAGACACCGGTCGACTTCTTGCCTTTCAAAAAGTTACATCCAAAAAAAACCAATGTTAATTTGGTATAATTTGAATCAATCTTAGAATCAATAATCAAATAAAGAATCCTCCTTGAATGCAAATTTGGTGTAACCTAAAGGGAAAAAAACAAAAAACAAAGTAAAGACTAGATGTAAAACATAGAATATATAGCAGTAAAAAATAAAAAAATAAAAAAAAAAAAAAAAAAAAGGCCAAAACAACAAAGAAATGTAGTTAAAGAAAAAAGAAATTAACGTAGTGCCTAGGAGGATTTTTTTTTTTATTTTTTTGGGAAGTTATTCCGAATGACTGACTAAATTTTATCTTTATATTTAAAAAAATAAAATTCTGTACCTTAGTTCGTTTGATGGATCATCTGCCTTGAGATATGGATAAAGAGTACTTATGGGTTTTCAAAATACAAAAAAATAAATATAATATATCCAACCAAGGGCCTTGTGCTTCACTGATATCACCTCTACTTTCAAAAGTGGACGTGTGAGTTTTGTTGTCAATGACAAAAAAAAATAAAAATTAATAAATCCAAATTAGAGGAAAGATAAGTGTAACTAATCCAAAATCAAAGAAAAATTTAAATCAACCCATTAAGTGAAAAGCCGCAGTTTAATTAAACCATCACCAAAACGTTCTTGTTGAGCAGATATCTTCTGCACAAGCTCCAAAGAAGACGACTCCAAGGATTCTAGTTTCTGCTTCAAATTTATAATTTCCTCCTCGGCTTGACCGATCTGACGAAGAACACTTTCATACTTTCTCTTGTCGGAAGCTAAGTTTTCAATGGCACGAACTCGGGACTCAAGCCAAGAGAGATTTAGACCGACCAACTTGCCATTAATTAAAAACTGATTTACCTTGCTTATGTCAGCATTGTCAATATCACGCACGAGCTTCTCCTCCAGCATCTTAATAACATCTGCTAACATGTCTAGAAAAAAAGACTGAAAGTTAGGCCCCTGAACCTTGAAATCGGCAAAAGTTTCGGGATGACGTTCATAAACACGGTCCAATGTACCGACTTTATTGGAACTGCAAGAAAATTGATGCCAGGGAACAAGACTGTCAGTAGAAGTCTGACCCGAATCTGCTGGAGGCGGATGATCCTTGGGAGAATCTCCACGACCTAGGGTAATGCTAAGATCAACGTTTTTAGCAGGACTCAACACATGGGTCTTGAGATGATCAACGTTTTCAGCAGGAACGGGCCACAACACACGAGTCATTGGAAGTTCAACGTTTTCAGCAGGACCGGGCTTGCACACATGGGTTACGTGAAGATCAACGTTTTCGCCAACGCCTTCAACACACCTCAACACATTATTACAAACATTAGAGTCAAAAAAATGTCTAATCGTCTCTTCAGAATTCACAACACTTGCTTGAGACTCATTTGATGGCACTCTCCGGCACAATTCCCAGAAACTCAAGGAACTCTCGGAAAATTCTGGGAAACGTATCACTGTAGGCGTTAATTCGAAGGGGTGGGGCTTGCTTACAAGTTCTCCCTCTGCCACATTCCCGCTAATCTGAATCTCATGACGGGCCGCCTCAGCATTTTGAATATAATCCGGTCGATTGTGGGGGTCAATAACGCCAAAACCTTGTGCACAAGTTTTTAAATTACCAGTCCCTTCGGGATTGGCTCCAAGAGATTGGCCTTTAGCAGGTTGAGATAAGCTGGTATGGAATACGTCTACCAAATTTTGACAAGCCCAACAAATAAAATCATCATCCTCTCCGCGCGCGAACATACTCGCCTCTGTGCGAGTGGGCATACCAGCTTGCTCTATACTGCCTTCTGCCGCATTGTTGTTGGTCGTTGTGGGATCTTCCACAATGTCCACAAATTTGCTGCTGGTAGCTCTTGTACTTGTTGCGACATCCTACATGTCAAAATTATGTTAAAAGAGAGAAAATCTGAACAAGAAAACTAAAATAAAAATTGGGCATTACTCACCTCTGCGTGCGCAGGAATACCAACCACATTGTTGCTAGTCATTACAGGACCTTCAACAAAATTGCTGTTGGTTGCTCTTGTACTTGTTGCAACATCCTACATGTCAAAATTATGTTAAAAGAGAGACAATCTGAACAAGAAAAAATGAAATAAAAATTGGCCATTACTCATCTCAGAGCAGGCAGGAATACCAACCTGCTCTTTATTGCCTTCTACTGCATTGTTGCTAGTCGTTAAGGGATCTTCCACAATGTCCACAAAATTGCCGTTGGTAGCTCTTGTACTAGTTGTGCCATCCTACATGTCAAAATTAAGTTTAAAGAGAGACAATCTGAGCAAGAAAAAATAAAATAAGAATTGGGCATTACCGGTTGGAAATTTTTATATATAAATAATAAAAATTATTTTATGATCATATACACTATGTTTTCTAAAATAGAATTGCAATATGATTATTGATATTTGATGAATTGGGTTGTACTTTTCAATTAGATGGTCTAATTGGGAGTACGATTTGATACAGTTGGATTGTGATTTTTCAACATATTTGGTATGATTTAATTCTAACTATTTATATCTAAGTTTCCATAATAAAAATGGAGACTTAAGTATATTTATTTGTTGAGAAGCCGTCCCCCCTGTTATTGTTATATTATAAGAGTTTTAAACCCTTATTCAGCCCTATTGAAGAACAACTCTCAGAATGGGGTAAAACACTCTAATATTTTTGCAGGAACTCACAGATGATTACATGGATATTCAAAAAGTATTATATGATTTAATTATCAATCAGGTACGAGACTAAATTATTTCTTTAATTAATTATAGTATTCTTGATTTCTATATGTAAATTATTTGATTAAAACCCAACAATTGGTATCAGAGCCCGGTTAGGGTTATAATTTTCTGTTGTAGAAATCACGAAAAATAATAAATTTATTTAACCTGATGAATAATTTATATGGTTTCGCCTCTATGGGTGCGGAATTTTTGTTCTTGGTAGTCGGCAACGGATGTTTGCTGAATTGATTCGAAATGATTGTTGTATGTACTAAATATCCAACACACCTAGACTTCCTAATCCGAGAAATGTGATAGATACATACATTGGATCTGATGGCCCCATCCATGATGTGTTTTGCATTACATGTGGTGACGGATTTCTCATTGTTGTTACTTGTCTTGAAACAATCATTGCTGGGTGCATGTAAGCCTACATGATTAGATATCCAAGGCAGGCAGAATCACTTTGATACATGAATGAATAAATGAGAATTGAAATGTTTTTTTAATTATTATTTTGTTATATTTATTTATTCATTAACTAAAAAGTTTGAATGATTTATCCATTTATTTTTTTTGAATTGTGCATTAAATATAATATTATATTTAGATTGCAAATTTTGATAATAAAGGTAAAACATTACTTTAATCAGGATGTGACCATATGTCCATATGTATGTCTATGCAATCATGAATCATGATAGACTGCGTGGAGGGCTGTGTATATAGCCACGGAGCATGAAAAAGAGTGAATGAATGGCTGCTAACAAAGAGAAAATTATCTTTCTCATTTCTAATTCGGTCAAATAGAAGGGATAAACATAAACTGCGTAAACTTTTATGTGAATGAAGTCACCAATCTAGTTGATTTATAAGTTACAGTGAATAGAGTTGTATATGTGTTTTTTGTCTTTTGTAATAGCCAAACAAGATAATTGTATTTTAAAGCTTTTAATAGCTATTGTTTATAGTTTTGACAACTCTACATATTTGTGTGCAAGCATTCAGACATATACAAACTCCTGATGATAACGCACAATACGTACTATCATGGTTTTGGTAGATGGCTTAAAGATTTTATTATTTTATTGTTTATTAAATAATAATTTAATATTCAATATCATATTATATGTGTTTTTGGATATTTTAGACATCATTATTGATACTTATACTACATGTATCGATATGAGGTATATATTTTGAATTACATGTACAAGTGAACTTTTAGTTTAACATGAAGTTGTGTGGCCATCTAGCATGCTCTATGTTCAATACTTTTATTAAGCAATTCATGATACTTGTTTAATTTTAAGTTGAAAAATTTATAAGGACTTGTGTGCCATAAGTAAGCACTATTAACTTGATTGATTTAAAGAATCAAGTGTTTTAAATTGTTTATTGAATATATAATATACATGCATCAAGTATTTATAATTTTATTCAATTAAAGTATAGAAAGAATTAAGATTTTTTAAATCTTGATTGATGTGCATGTTATTATATTGTTCACTGTAATTTCTTGATATATATGAGGAGGCTTAATTTTATTTGTGTTAATAGCCATTTATATTACAATGAAATCAAGTATTTTATAATATTTATGTTTAGTTTATGTGCATTATAAAGAAACGTTAAACTTAAATAAATGAAACTTCTGCAGTTTAGGTTCTTCCTTGGAGTTTAGGAAGACCGGTAAAGTGACCGTTTCAAATGTGGTAGCCAAAGTGGTTGATGCCTGCCAAAAGGTGACATGCTCATAAAGGTTATTATTTTTTGAAATTTTAAGACATTGGTCTTATTAAGGTCGCACAGTACACTTACCTACATGAGGGTATTACTTCTGCCAAAAGGCGATCAATGTCTTCGTGTAGGATAAGTGAGTAGAATATTTGAGAGTGCTTGAATTATAACTAAACAACTTTCTTGCCAAAAGGTAATGGAAGTGTTTAGCAATAATTCAACTATAATCAATTAGATCTATGTGCGATTTTATCGCAGGTTTAGGGGTAAAGTAAAATCTAAAATTTTGCCAAAAAGTGATTTTTAGATGGCATTTTATTTGTTCCCGTGGGGTGGATGATTTTTGCACATAATAAAACACCCTGAGAAATTCAGCTTAAAACCCCAAGCACGAATTAAAGTAATAATCCCTAAAACTATGATATATTATTTTATATGGTGTTTATATGGTGTTATTTAATATAACATTTATTCAGGTTACAGACGCTTCCGTAATTTAAAGATAGATCATAGGGATTGAACCATTGGATGGTTAAAATTATATAGCCTAAAAGACAGGTTTTGATATTATATTTGGTTTCTTGGACTACAAGTCTGTGTTTTTTTTTTTTGGAAGAAACCCATATGCCCAGTGCAAAGTCTTCTTAGATAGAAAAGTTATTGCATTTTTATATGGACTAAAGGTAATACCACGCCATTAAGTTAATTTGTGTTTCTATTGGTGATACTATTCAGCGTGGTTTTCTGGTTTTTGATACTGTCAATGAGCTTCTTTGATTTTATCAAGAAATAGTTAATGGGCATTAAGAAGCAACTACAATACTATTATCTGACATGGTTTACGTTAATTAGATATGATGGCAATGGTTCAGTGAGGGAGTACATCTATATAATGTACAAGCTGGTTAATGATCTAAGGTAGTAGGGAATCAGATTTGATGATAAATTATTAGTACACATGGTGATCTATTTTTTGCTTTGGTTTTTTCAAAATTTTCAAGGTGAATTATAATTCAAAAGAAGTTAAATGTGGCATTAACCAACTGTTAACACAGAAATCCTGCCGGTGGGATTTTCAGACGATCCAATTTCGACCACAACGCATGTTCCAGCGTACGGAACAGGACACATGGGATTTCAATCCAAGCTTTTTTTCAGACACAATTATTTTTAACTAGTATCATTCTCACATTGAGAGCGTGATCTCGTTCTTACGTTCGCGTACGCTTTTGTTCTCATTGTCACTATTTGTAACTTAATTTGTCGCTTTTACGCTTATACCTTCAAATTCGTTTTTCCTCTCTTTCTCGCTTTATGTGACTCTGTGTTGTCGTACTAAAAAGGTCCAATATAATATCGATAATGGTGATTGTCATTGTAGGGGCAAAAATCTCCGCTTCTAATTAAGACAAGACACATCAGCACATAAGGGGATCACCACAAATCAAATAATAAAATAAACAAATAATTAAAATAACTAATTACATGAAGCACATAAATAAAGTAAAAAATTACAACCAAGTCACACCATATCAATAAAATCAACACACCAACAATTCAATTAATAATCAAGTACACACACAAGCAATCATCATATATAATCACGAAATATAATTTAATTAAAATAAGACAATTTAATCTAAGCACTCAATTAAATAAAACAAATTATTTAAAAATAAAAATAAAAGCAATTAAACCCAAATAAATCAAACAAATCATTTAAAAATAAAATAAAAGTAATTAATTCCAATTAATAAATCCTTTAAAATATCGGGGTATTACATTCTTCCTCCCTAACAAAAGGGATTCCGTCCTTGGAATTCACAAATCCATGACATGAAACTTTGGTTATTTAATTCAAATTTTCATTCTACGTTTATCCGTGTGGAATTCACCCATCCACACCTACTCATAATTGGTAGACATATCTCGTAATTTATTAAGACGATGCTAAGTTAATCCATACTTGTTGTATTTATTTGCAACCTAACCTCACCAACTTACATGCGTTGGGACTTATCCCCATTACTGTATTTTCTTGCAGCAAAACAAATAAAAATCCCTTTACACATATGACTTGAAATAGAACATCGCTAACAATAGGCTATTGCTTAATCGAACAAAATATGAATAACCCACATAATGAAGTAATTACCTCCTCTTTATTGCTAAACCACGTTATACCAGTTATAGAAAAATGCTTTAGGTAATAACCCGCTTCCCATTTTTTAATTCTATTAGACGAGTTTATGATAACCTAACTATTTCACCTATTCTGGCAACGCACAAAAGATCTCTAATAAGACTAATCTCCATAAATATGTCCTTAATTAATGTAAGACTCAGAATTCAACTCCTTTTAAACAACGATCCACGAATGGAAAATCTTAAAAGATCGTCCATACAAATACTTAAGCAATGCCATACCAACAGGCAACCCCGCAAGCTTTATTGAATGCTCTCAATCGATCTTGGTCAAACGATCATCTATGACCCATACCCTGTCGGATTCCACTGAGTAAAAAAAAAATTCCACCGAAAGTCAACTCCTTATTTTCAAGTTGACCTATAGTTTCCCTGTGAGTAATAGCATGTGTACTAGCTTTACCACTATACCTAAACCAGATAACTTCTCAACAGACTAACCATTTTGTATCGTGTTGACATTTGAGAATATTTGCAACTACATTCATTCTCCCTGAACAATATTGAGTGTAGAAGTAATAACGTTCCACAATTCAATTATCTACTCTATCTCGCACTTGTGTTTACGATATGAACGTAAACTATCAACCTTTATAGTCTATGTCATTCAATCAGTTTCCACAATAAATAGTCTCCCTATATACTGATTTAGCATACGATCCTGGCACCTATACTCTTGCCTCCAACAATACCTTCTAAATCAGTGTCCTACCATTTGTTGATAAGACTAAACGATTTAACTTTAGGACGCAGTAACGGACCGAAAATAGAATACAATGAATCCTAAACTTAAGCTCTAAGCAAAAGAGTACACAATGCAGAAATCACATAACGAAAGACACCTTAGGGACACTATAACTTGGAGTGCTCTGATATTAACTTATTGTAACTCGTTTGTAGTAATGGTATTTCATTGTCTTCATTGATGGGTTCTCAAGGTATAATTGTGTACTTGATCCACTAGAAGTCCGAAGCACTTAATGTGTGTAAAACATACCAGACTAAAGTTGAAAATAGTTGGGTATAGTGATTATGGTTTTAAGATCGGACTAAGGTGGTGAGTTTTATTAGGAAAATGGTAAGGAGGGTGTAAATTGTAGTACTTTCAGTACATACTTAAAGAGTAGGGCATTGTGCCACAGTACACCATTCCTAGTTCTCCTGGACAAAATAAAGTTACAAAAAAGAAAAAGTATAGGGATGTCTTATAGAGACAGAGTTATATAATGCAGATATCAAGGAGCTTGATACTCACACTGTCAATAATTATTTTATTTATCATCTTGAAAGATTAAAGAATTGAAGATTTTTTACTGTCCAGTATACCTATGGAGATTATTGATATATCTTATACATATTTGATGAGAATGGCGAATCCAGTGGGAGTTTAAGATATTGTAGTTTCTTTTGCAGAAAAGCATTTCCAGCATCTATTCTATTTATTTCAAACTTCATTCCACTTTCTTTAGTGGTTTCAGTTAAAGCTAATATTCACACTCATTCAGTTATTCCCACCCATTTAGTTATTTCTCCTTTGCAAGCCTTTCTTTTAGTTTCCAATCTAGTTCCTAAGCCTATTTAGCTTAGGAGATCTTCTTGGAAGTGTGCTATAGTTGGTGATTTTGAGGTGTATGATGGATATAAGACAAAATTGATGGCTAAGTGCTTAAACAAAAGTTAAGTGTTGATTTTTTTGATTTTTTCTCCAGTTTCATAAAGGAATTTTTAAGAGTCATTCTTTCATTATCGCTTATTTATGGCTTAAGCAAGTTTTACAGTAGTGGTATTTGAATTTTGATACAGTGATTGCTAATTGTAGGTTGAAAGAGAATGTTATGGATAAATGCATACACCTCAAGTTCAGTGAGAGTTATTTTACTTTCCTTGTCTTATATATTGATGATATTTTGCAAGGTATCAATGATATTCATATGATGCATGATATTAATATTTTTTATGTAGAGTGTTTGGCATGTAGGACATGGAATGTCCTTGGCATTAGGATCCATAAAGATCATGCTACTGAAATACTTGAACTTTCTCTAAAGGCTTATATTAATTAAGTATATGGAAACAATTTAAGGGTGACCAAGCGTAGTAAGCCTATTGACATAAAGTACATTTTCAAGGGTAAGAAGGTGGTTAAAAGTTTAAGTGCCATTAAGATTTCCCCATACAGAAAGATTGTTGCAGATCCTCTCACTAAAGATCTTCAGCCAAAGATAATAAAGTATTTATAAAGCACGTGATTCGGATAGTTGTTCGAGGGTCATTATGTTATGATGTCCGGTATTTCTTTTATATATGCTACAGTTTCTTTACGCCTTGTGGTGACAGTTATTTTTCCTCCAGTTTACACCTTATGGTGACAGTTGTTTGCATCCAAAATAAAGTTAGAATGTATCATTATTATTATCTTGATATATATGGTTTATGCACGTGCTATTATGTTTATCTGAGAGTGGTATTTCACCCATGAGGTTGTTTGGGCTAGATGTGAAATTGGCACCACATCGATAAATTCAAAATAATTATTAAAGTTTGTCTAGGAGTGAATTTCATTCATGCGGTTGTTTGAGTTAGATATAAGATTGACACCATATCAATAAATCCAAACATAAGATTTGTCTGGGAGCGGTATTTCACTCATGAGGTTATTTGGACTAAATGTAAGATTGACACCACAATGGTAAATCCAAACATAACTATTAAAGTTTGCCTGTAGGAGTGTTTCACACTTCATGAGGATAACTTGGGCTAGATATGGACCCTCACACTGAACAAAAGGTTGGCAGTTTGCTGTAATATGTTCAGGTGACATACCGCGATGGTATAAAGTAGGACGGATAGTGAGGTGTGCGTTTAGATCACATGCAGTTTGCACATCTCATGAAATACAGTAAAAATCACTATATTTGCTTGACTCCTAGATAGAATTAGTTTTGAGATCATGAAACTATTTAGACTAATATATTGCTTGTCTATGCATTCATGATTCACTATTGAAAAAGTCTATAGAGGAGAGTGTTCTAAAGTATTAATCCATTTATTTCGATAATTGTATTTTTATAAAATAAATTAAGTGACCACTCGACTTTTTCTAAAGTGTGTTACAATCCATAATGTCATTTTTATAAATGCATGGACCAAGTGGGAGATTGTTGAAAATTTTTATATATAAATAATAAAAATTATTTTATGATTCTATGCACTACGTTTTCTAAAATAGGATTATAATGTGATTATTGATACTTAATAGATTGAGTTGTACTACCCAATTTGGTGGTCTAATTGGGAGTATGGTTTTATACAGTTGGATTGTGGTTTTCTAACATATTTGGTATGATTTAATTCTAACCATTAATATTTAAGTTTCCATGATAGTAAGGAAGACCTAGGTATGTTTATTTGTAGAGAAATCGTCCCCCCTGTTATTGTTCTATATGAGGGTTTTAAACCCTTATTCAGCCCTATCGAAGAACAACTCTTAGAAGGGGGTAAAGCACTCTAATGTTTTTGCAAGAACTAACAGATGATTGTATGGATATTCAAAAGGTATTATGTAGTTTAATTATCAATCAGGTACGAGACTAAATTATCTCTTTAATTAATTGTAATATTCTTGATTTCTACATGTAAATTATTTGATTAAAACCCAACATTACTCACCTCTGCTTGTGCAGAAATACTAACTTGCTCTATATTGCGTTTTGCGGCATTGTTGCTAGTCATTACGGGATCTTCCACAATCTCCACAAAATTGCTGTCGATAGCTCTTGTAGTTGTTGGACCATCCTACATGTTAAAATTATGCTAAAAGAGAGAATCTGAACCAAAAAAAAATAAAAAATAAAAAATGGACAATATTACTCACCTCTATGCGCGCAGGAATACCAACTTCATTTTTATTGCCTTTTGCCACATTGTTACTAGTCGTTACTGGATCTTCCACAATCTCCACAAAATTGTTGCTGCTGGTAGCCCTTGTACTTGTTGCGTCATCCTATATTTCAAAATTATGCTAAAATAGAGAGAATCTGAACAAGAATTAATAAAATAAAATAAAAATTAAATATTACCTTTCGGGGCCTTTTGGGAGCAGGACAAGGTAAAACTCTTTTTGATTTTAAAATCTTAGTCGAATCAGCAGCTCCACTTGGCATAGAATTTTGCGCTTCTATACAACGACGTGTGCATGTGGGAGCAAATTCCTTCGCAAACCGGCTCGCATTGCCGCGAGATGAGGTTGGCCGCTTCTTTGGAAGCTTGAGTGAAGAGTCACCTACAAAGATGACTGGTGGCTCAATAGGATGCGGCAACTCCTTGGGAAAGGAAAGAAAGATTTCAAGGTTCTTCTTCCAAAATTTGCGATAGCCTTCCGAACACTTACCTTGGCGATCATATGAAGGGATAAAGAAGGTAAGTGAATAAGACCTCTCCGACAACTCACGGAGACAGTCTTGAAAAGACTGCCGGTTGCCTTGTAGATGCGGAACTCCTTGGTCGAACCCAAATTGACGTGAGACTCGCGCTGGCATATAACTAGCCAAAGACATCCCTGCTTCAGTAAAGCTCGGAAGACAACAGCTGGCTGTCATAGCAGCAAACATCAGCTGGTAATGGTTCATAGTTTGAGCCGGACCAAGTTCCTCGTCATTATCAAAGTAAAACATGGAGAATTCAATGCCATTTATGTGAATTGCATAAGGCCGAAAAACAAACTCTCTTTCATAGTCTATCAAATCCCCTAATTTCCGGCCAGTAATCCCCGACCACCTTAAGGCTTGCCCATTGTCGGCCGAGGCACCATCTGTATCATTGGCCGCAAATTCTTTTGGAGAGCTAGCACTGTAGCTTGGAAACCTCTCAAACAAGAATAACGTCAAAAAAGGGCATGAAATGAAGGAGCTAATGTCATATCTTCCTAAAGAACTAGACGAGGCTTCTTTAATCATATCTAGACGATGATATAATGTCCCGAGGAACATCGGTGCTAGCCGAACAGCACACCCGCGGGCAAGTACGGCGGCAAGAGGAAACACCCTTGTATTGAGACCATCCTCGGGACGACCCTCAAAAATAAAACGGTCAAGCCAATAAGATAGGAAACCCGCTAGATGAAGAGGCTTGTCAAACTCTGGGCCATTTACACTACGGTGCTCAGGGTTCACGGAACGAAGGTTTTGTGGAGAAAGGTCCACATCTTTGAAAAAATAGCGGACCCAATTCGAGTAAGCTAACTTCTTGCGAACAAGTATTGGTTGTGAAGGTAAAAGAGTTGAACCATCAAACCATGATCCCTTTTCGGAAGCAATTGTAGCACATCGCTTCAAGTCGGCCACCACGGTTTGATCTTCGGGAGCCAAATCAATCAAATTAACATCATTATCACCAAGGATAGGAAGTCGGTACAGCACAGCAACGTCTTCTAAAGTGGGTGAAAATTCACCCCAAGATGCAACAAAGGTGTGGGAGTCCGTACTCCAGCGAGAAATCAGTGTACGCAAGCTTAAATTGTCACGCCTAATAGTGAGGACAGAAAACAAACGGATGGCATTCAAAATGTTTGAACGTTCCAAAATTAGTCTATAATCTTCCCTACTTAGGACATGTTGTGTCCACAATTTCCAATCAGGGGGAGAACCCGTGTGACCATCGAACTCAATGTAAGAATAAGGAAAATCCCCACGTTCCACCAAGAGCCGTGGAATGGAAGAAGGAGAAATTAGAGCTCCAGCAATGGGACCTTCATCTTCCAAAAATTTGGGATCATCGGTAACAATAAAATCCTCTTGTTCAACACCCACAAGGTTCCAAAAGTGGTCTTGATCTGTCTCTAGGAAAGGAGCTTTGCGCCATTGGTTGGGTGGCGGGACACTAGGGGTGGTGCCGTCTTGAAAACATAAAATCTTACCCGCCATGGACAAAGGAAAAGAAAATGAAGTGGCTCGTCTGTCAGCAAATGGTTCAGACTCTGAGCAACATGGGTCTACACCCCCAGGGGTGGAGGAATTTTTATTTATTTTTTGGTAAAATGGCAAGTAGAGTTGACAGAAAGGGCTCTCAGAGAGAGAAAAAGAGGTCCTTAGGCCAACCAAAGGCACAAACACGCCCTGGAACAAAATAAGCACAAAAATCAACTAACCAAAAGGAAATATCGTCTGCGGCAATTTAGGCTCAAACTTATTAAACTGTATAAATTTATTTTAAAAAATAAAAAAATTTGAGTACTTAAGTTTAAATAAGTGAATCATAAATAAAAAGTGAGTATCCATTAAATTTAAGGATCAGTTGGTACTTATCTTAAGCTGCTTAAACAAAATTTTATTTTTTCCTTTCTCATTTCTCTTTGTCTCTCTTATTTTTATTTTTTATTTTTTTCTATGAAAAAAAAAAATTGTAAATTTTAAAATAAAAAATTTTAATATAAATTTTTTTTTGGTTATTCAAAATCATAATAGTAATAATATTAACGTAACTCTTCTAATATTATTAATATTAATATTTTTTGTTTCTAACCCTCTCTTTTATTCTTTTTATCTCTTCTTTCCTTTTTTTCTCTCTCCTCCTCTTGTTTCTCTCTCCTCCCTGTTTCTCTCTCTTCTTTTTTCCTCTTTACCTTTTTTTTTTTTCTCCTTATGTGATAATTCTCCCATTCTATTTCTTTTCTCTCTATTTCTTTCTACTAAGCTTTCGCTTTTTTTTTTTGTTTTTAATTTTTTGGGACTATGATAATTCACGAAGTAAGTTGTGTAGGAACTTTTTTTCAAAAAAAAAATAATAATAATAAAATAAATTAAATTAATTGTAAAGAGTGAAACCTAAAAATTAATAAATTTAATACAAAAATAATTTTTTTTATTTTTTTTAATACTCAATAATTAAAATAATTTGATAATTTGTATTTAAAAATACTTGAGTAATTGAATTGTGTGTTACCATAAATGGACTGATAATGAATTATTAACTCATTATTGACTAATCCATTCAGATCAGCTCAAAACTCTCCCAAAGTCACCCAATTGCTACTCTAAAAATATACTAACGGCCCAAAATAGACAGAAACACGAACATACAAGATTAACACAAGTTGGATTGGGAATATACCACAACTGGAGCAATGGAGTTCTCAACCACCGAGGTCTGGACGATGAGGGGGCCGTCTCAGACAATCCGCCGGAAGATTCCTATGCAATAATAGCACTGTGAACCGAGGGAGGGAGAGTCCTTCAGATTAAAGCTTGAAATTCTGGATCTGATGACGGATTGATCGGAGCTTAGCCAAGACTTAGATTTTCCTTCAAGATTAAAGCTTGAAATTCAGATTGATTGGATCTTAGCCAAGACTTCGATTTTGAGATGAAGCCTGATACCGTTGACGGACTAGGAAAGTAGAAGAAATGGTGTGTGTTTTTTGTTTTTTATTTTTTTTATTTTTGGGTAGGTAAAGAAATGGTCTCTTGCTATAGAGGAGGAATGAAGTGGGTATAAGTGGGTTTGAGTTCCTTTTCCTTTGTATTTGGAAGATTGTTTAGCCCGCGGGACTCATGTTTTTTTAATGCGCGGCACTCGTCTTTCCGCGGGACATATAATATATATATATATATATATATATATATAATTGTGTGTTGAAAATAAGGGTTTTTTTAATGCGCGGAACTTGTCTTTCCGCCGGACATATAATATATATATATATATATATATAATTGTGTGTTTACTTTAATCAAGCTGGAAAACAAGGGTACACGATCACAATGTGAATGCAGCTTTGTTAATGTGAACGCAGCCTTGATGGCATTAGAAATTGAAGGCACCAAAACTATAACATGCAGCCAGGTTACGTGGATAGTAATCACCCCACGGTCCCCACCCATTAATGCATAGTAATTTCATGAGAGCATTTTCAGTGGTCTCTTAAATTGGCTATTAAAGTTAAAATATAGTAGATGGATGAAAATAAGACATTCTAATGATCTCTCAAAAAAAATTTCATATTTTGAAATTTTTAAATATGTTCTCAAATATAGTTACTCTCAAATGACCTCTCAAACTCAAAATATAACAAGTGAATAAAAATAGGCACTCTAATGGAACTCTATCAAAAGACCTCTTATATTTTAAGATTCTCAAATGTTGTTAAAATAAAAATTATGCACTTCAATGACTTTTCAAAACATGGAATGGTTGTTGTGTCAAAAAATAATATTTTGAATGAAATGTACCATTGGAGCAAAATTATAAAAATATAGCATTTTGACACTACAACTCCTCTCAAAATATAGATTTGACATGAAAATATAGCATTTTGCATTAAAAATGCTCTCAAAAAGTTATTGACTATGCATCGGAATGCAAGGAATTTTGTTGGGGCAAAGCCAGGATAGTAAAGTAGGGGCTGAAAATAATTAAATCTATAATTACTTAATTTGTCATTCATATTCTAAATACAGAATTTTTATGTATCAATCGTTCAATTAAACTCAATAATTTACAACCTTCCAACATGTTTACACTTTTAAATTCTAACGTGTTTTCACAGTCAATAATTCACTGAAATATGTTTCATACAAGTATTAAAACAAACACCTACAAAAAGACAAAATATATATATTCTTTATGAATAAATTTACATTAGAAAGTAAGAACTATGTACTATGCCCTTTACTAGTCATTAATCAATTATATAGTAAATTACTCAATTTAACAAGAAAACATCAAGTCATCAATAAAGCTTTTTTTTTCTTTCTTTTTTTCTTTTTTTTTTACAAAAATAAAAATCAATATTTCACTAAATTAATAATAATAATTCATGATATCCATCCACCTACGTCTTAGTGCTTTACACACAAAAAGTCTAAGTCTTCTTCCACAAACTAACAATGTATTTGATTTGCGTATAGTTTTAGGCATTTATGTGATCTTAAGTTAACTAGTTTGTTGTTGTTTTAATCTTAAAATGCTTTTATGAATATAATGAATGTGATTCCCATTTAGTTTAGCCTGAAGTAACTAAATGAAAATGGATGGCGGGAGCTAGACACAACATGGATTTACCTTTCGATATATATATATATATATATATATATATATATATATATATATATATATGTTTGCTTTGCTGGCCTCTTATGTTTTATTTATTTATTTATTTATTTTTTTTTTTTTTTTTTTTTGTGATTCGGTCCGTCCATAGTTCGTAGACTTGCTCATATTTAAGGCTTAGCCTTTGTAAATTTTATAACTCCTTTTATTTATAGAAATACTATGAATTGGGCTACACCGGGCTGGGCTGGGCTGATAGGAAAAGGAAGAGTAGTAGATGAGCTTATAGGAACAATAGTACTATATATATATATATATATATATATATATATATATATATATATATTCCAATTAGCCCAGATTAGCCCATTACTAGTTTCACCCTAGAATTTTGTGTGCTTTACTTGGTGGACGCGCTGTAAAACTAATTTTGTGTGCTTTAGAAACAGTTTTCTGTTCCTAGAGTGACGTAGGACACTTTTAAGTGTTTAGTAATTTTTATATTGTAAGTTTCTTATTTATTTTATTTTTATAAATTTTTATAGGAATTTTAATTTTAGTTAGTTTCTAGAAATTATTTTCCTCTTGCTATTAGGTTTTTTTATGTTTTTAGTTTTCTAATAGTATTAGGTTTTCCTTATTATATATATATTCATGTATTGTAAGAGCAAAAATAGCCTTTTTATTAATAATATTTTAGAATTTTTTATGAATTTATCTTTTGTTTTGTGAATTCAAAACACATACATTGTAGATTCAATGTATCAACTGACGTAATACAAAACCAAAAATACCAATCCAAGATAAATTTAATCAAATCCAGATGAAGACTAGCACAACTGGAATTTAAAAAAAAAATCTCTCTACAACAAATTTTTTTCTGGAGAAAAGAGGAATGGAGGCCGAATCAGTGCTGGGTTGGTTCCGGGAAGGAAAAGTGGGTCTTTTCTGGAGGGCCGTCGCGGTGCTTTGTTACCGCCGCCAACGACCTTCGGTCTCCTCTCTGTACTGGTTTTACTCCGGTGAGTCGGATCGATGACCTCCTGCTCCGCCGACGAGCTGTTCTTGAATGATCCGGCCGAGGCAACAATGGGTGTGCATCAATTTGTATGGCAACAAGGATCCCAACAAATTTGTAGAGTGTCAAGATCCCAGCAAAACTCGACCAAACAAAAGACGGGCGCAGAAAGATCGAATTGGAGTTACGGAATCGGAGAAAGAGCTTGGGAGAGTTGGATCTAGAGGAGAGAAGTGTGTGTAAGATTTTGGGGAGAGATGTGAGAAATTGTTGCAAAGCCACCATGAAAGAGGGTGTTGGTTATAGAGAAAGCGTGTGTTTGAGAGAGTGTGTGTGTTTGCTGCCATGGTGGTTGTTTGTTTTAATTAAAATGTTTTTTTTTTCCCTTTTTGTTCCCAATACAAATTGTTGTATTCAAATGATGATTCAAGTGATTTAGATATATATGATTACAAAGTGTGTGTGTGTATATATATAAGTGTGGGGGGGGGGGGAATTTGATTGAGAATGTTTGGTTGGAATTTAATGGTAATAAAAAGGGTATTATGGTCTTTTAGCTTCATAAAGGGTTGTATGGTCATTTAAAGAAATTTAAGTTGTCACTTGACCTATCATAAGTGACCTATCATGTGTGTAATGACTCGGTCATTTCCTTCCTTTCCTTTTTCCTCAGAATTTTACGGACGAATTTTTTTTCGTTGAAATTTCTTTTCTGAGTTCAGTTTCTCGTCGCTTAGTATCGTCTTGAGTGCTCGGAAATGGTTTCTAAAACTCTTTCATTTGGATTGACAACTTCCTTTGAGGACTGAGTCATTTCCACATTTTTCGTTTTTCGACACTATTCACTTTTCATCTTTTTCCCTGTTTTGTCCTCTTCCCTATTTTGTCTTGTCCCCGTTTGACACTTTGTTGGCATAACCTCACTCCTTGTATTCAGAGTTAGTTTTTGACTTCACGTATCTTCATTCTAAGTGGTTTCCACGAAATACGTATCTTTACTTTTGCAAAAAAGTACTCTGCTTGCTCCCGGTGTCCATAGGGGCATAGATGCATAGTTCTTTGGAATTATTTTCTTTTCTTGGGATGTTTTTCGTAAATATATTTTGAAGATATTTTATTACAGGGGTATCTAAGAAAATATCTTTTGGAAGATATTTTCATTCAGGGGCAGTTTTGCAGTTAACCCTTTTTGTAGGGGCTATTATGCAACTAACGAAAGTTATTGCAAAATATCTCGTCTGGAGCCTGGATCCTCGTACGGGATTCATTTTCACATTTCTTTGAGTTGTGTACTCATAAAATTTCCTTCTGGTCATTTTTCTCCAGTTTCAGGGTTTCTGGACTGAGTTGTCGTTGAACTTGTTTGGGGCATATCTCTTTGCTCGGGACTCCGTTTTTGACGCCGTTTCTCCGTTGTTCATATTTTCTCATTTTGAACCTTTTTCATTCACAGAGTTTTGCCGTTTGAGCACGTTAGCTCAAAATTCACTATTCTGGACCTTGCGGGACCCTTTCGGGGCACTTTTTGAGATTTTCTATAAATAGGGGACTTAAAGAAGAAAAAATAGATTTTCTTCTTCTTCTTCCTCTCTTGGCCGGCAGCCATAGATGCCCATGGGGCTGCCACCTTTTCTTCTTCTCCTCCACTTGATTTCCTAAGTGAAAAGTCTTCAGCCTTAACGTTTGTTGTTCCCCTCGACGTGCTCTACCTTTCCCCCTTATTAGAATTCATTTCTTACTGTTTCTTGAGTTCGGGTTTGAAGTCGAGTTGTGATTTTTATGGGGCTTCTTGTGGGTTCATATAAATCGTGTTGTCCCCGACAAAACCCTTCGGTATCGTCAGATTCAAAGAACTTTTTTTTCGGTGGGCTTTTGAGATTTTTATCTCAAATTGAGGTAGGGGATGTCTTAGGTTTATATTATTGTTGTATTGATTATTTTATAAGCATATACAACTTGTGAGCATGCCTTGTTCAAGTTTTTAGAGTTTAATTTATTTATTTTCTTTGTTTAGGATTTAATTCTAATGATGGTATATAGTTTAGAATTAAATTGTGGCATGCTAGTAAATTAGACCTTGGTGAGTTGTGTAACATATATTAAATTTGGGGTATTTGATTAAGAATTGCAAAATTCATTTAATATTTATCTTTAGTGAAAGATTAATTCACATAGTTGTATCAAATATGAAATCAACTTCTAATATGATATTTAAGTAGGCCTTGGTGAGTTCTTTAACATATATTAAATTGAGGATATTTGGATATGTTTGAAAATCTAGAGAAAAATTAATTAATTAGCTTAATTAATTTTGTTTTAAGGGTGTTAGTCACTTAAATTGATATTGGATGTAATAGGTTGATAATTCCTTGAAATGTAGTCCGTTTAATTACCTTGTGAGCATGTTACTAACTTGTTGTAGAATTAGTACTTGTAGCCCCTAAAGATGGTAATTTGACTTAGCATGATAGGTGATATCATTGTCTTGAATAGCTCGTTTAAATATATCTTGTGTAGGTATATAACTTGTTAGAATATTACAAT